AAAAAAAAAGACAACTGACAGAATGGGAGAAGATATTTGCAAATGACGTATCAGATAAAGGGCTAGTATCCAAAATCTGTAAAGAACTTCTCAAACTCAACACCCAAAGAACAAATAATCTAAACAAGAAATGGGCAGAGGACATGAACAGACATTTCTGCAAAGAAGACATCCAGATGGCCAACAGACACATGAAAAAGTGCTCCACATCACTCGGCATCAGTGAAATACAAATCAAAACCACAGTGAGATACCACCTCACACCAGTCAGAATGGCTAAAATTAACAAGTAAGGAAATGACAGGTGTTGGCGAGGATGTGGAGAAAGGGGAACCCTCCTACATTGTTGGTGGGAGTGCAAGCTGGTGCAGCCACTGTGGAAAACAGCATGGAGGTTCCTCAAAAAGTTGAAAATAGAGCTACCCTATGACCCAGCAATCGTACTACTGGGTATTTACCCTAAAGATACAAATGTAGTGATCTGAAGGGGCAAACACCCTAATGTTATAGCAGCAATGTTCACAATATCCAAACTTTGGAAAGAGTTTGAATGAATGAATGAATAAATGAATAAAGAAGATGTGGTATGTATGTATGTGTGTGTGTGTGTGTATGAATATTATGCAGCCATAAAAAAAAACCCTGAAATCTTGCCATTTGCAATGACGTGGATGGAACTAGAGGGTATTATGCTAAGCTAAATAAATCAATCAGAGAAAGACAATTATCATATGATCTCACTGATATGAGGAATTTGAGAAACAAGACAGAGGATCATGTGGGAAGGGAGGGAAAAATGAAACAATACAAAACCAGACAGGGAGACAAAACATAAGAGACTCTTAATCTCAGAAAACAAACTAAGGGTTTCTCGAGGGGAGGGGAGTGGGAGGGATAGGGTGGCTAGGTGATGGACACTGGTGAGTGCTGTGAGTTGTGTAAGACTGATGATTCACATATCTATACCTCTGAAACAAATAATACATTATATGTTAATAAAAATAATAAAAAATAAAATAAATAAAATTTAAAAATAAATAAAAAGTAAATAAAAATTTTTAAAAATTAACCATGTATTAATCCAAAAGTAAAATCACAATATATATCATAAAGCAGAACACTGATAGGCCACATTCTCCAACTACAACCCAGTAAAAGTAGAAATTAACAATAAAATACTGACTTTAAGAATTTTAAAAAACAATTTTAAATAATTCTTAAAAAGGAAATTAAAATTACCTTTAAAAAGAATAGAAATAGATTTAGAAAACCTATAGAACAATGTCAAAGTGGTACTTACAAGAAAATTTGTAGTCTTAAATATTTTATGGAAAACAAGAAAAACAAAATAAATGGAGCAAACATATAGTTTTTTAAAAACTACAAAAAAAGAAAGTAAAAGTAAGAAAATAAAGATAAAATCAGAAATTAATGAAATAAAAAAATGGCTTGCAAAGATCAAAATATAGAAACTTCTGGAAAATCCAATTAAGAAAAAGAAGAGATGACACAAATATGTTAGAAATTAGAAAGCTGACATTACATTTTCAGAGGAAATTTTTAATTTATTAGAGAACAAAACACGTCATAAAACAATCTGGATGAAAGTAATGCTATCTCCAGAACATATAAATTAGCAAAAATGTACTCAAGAAAGTTAGAAACCCTGCAAAAAACATAAAAGACACTTTCAGATTCATTATAATGACAACCCAAAATAGGTTGCTCTCTACCATGAACTCAAAACTGTTTTTACGTGTAAGTGAGGAGGAGGAATATGCATCCCAGAACCTAATCCCAAAGGTGTAAGGAATTCCTTGGTGGTGTGACACTGGATGCTTGACAACTAAAAACAGTAATGGGACAAGAATGTTTGCTCTGAAACTAAAGACAGTATATTAGAAGTTTCGCCTACAACAAGTTAAGAAAAAAAAAAGAGTTTTAACTATTAGAAATCAAGAGATAAAACTATTCCTCTTTATAGATATGATTGTCTATCTAGCAAATCCCTGCAAATCAAATGAAGGGCTTCCAGTACTCTTAAGAGAGTTCAGTAAGATAGATAAAACAATCAAAATTCAAAAACCAGTAGCCTTAAAACAAAAACCAAAACCCAGTAGCCTTCTTACATACCATCCATACCTGAATACAAAATACGTTACACAGTTTTTAAAAGGACTCTGTTTGCAATATCATACTCCATAAAATACCAAGAAGTAAACCTACCAAGAAATATAAACCTAAATGGTAAATTACAAAATGTCACAGAAAGACATACAGACCTGAATAGATGGAGAAAGATACCATATTCCTAGACAGAAAGATTCAGAACTGTAAAAACAAGAATCTTCCCCAAACTAATCTATAAAATCAATTTCAATAGGACTTTTTACAGATCTTGATGAACTGATTCTAAAATTCATAGAGAGTAAAAATGTAAGAATAGCCAAAAATATTTTTAGAAGAAAAGGAGGAATTTGTCTTACCATATCACAAAACTTCCAATAAATGAAAAGCAAATAAAACAATATCATACCATCACAGCAACAAAATAGACTAGACTAATAGTTAAGTGTCCAGAAACAGATCATTAGGAATTAACTTTATGAGAAGACAGCATTTCAAATCAGTAGGCAAAGAGAAAACAACAACATATTTATCAAATATATCTGACTACCTTTTGGGGACTAATATAAAATCCTAACTTTCACCATATAAAAAATTAACTCCAGATGCCTTATAAGAAGCCTAAGGGTAAAAATAAAATGGTTTGCAAGTATTAGAAGAAATAATAGAAGAAGTCCTATAATCTTAGGACATGTGGCAGAGGCTGCTTTGCCTACCCAACACTCATGTTCTTTCCTTCTTAATAGCAGAACTCCAATTTTAACCTAGGCACACTATCAACAAGATATTTCTCAGTGTCCTTTGCACTTAGGGGTAGTCATATAACTAGGTGCAAACTGTTATCAGGACTTCCAAGAAGTCTACTAAACGAGGGAAGATACTCAAATGTAATGGCTGAAGCCCCTGCAATCATTTCGGACAAAAGGTGATCTTGAAACAGAAGTTATGTGGGATGACAAAACTGAAAGATGGAAACCCACATACTGATGATACCATGAAGCCACCGTATCTACCTTAGAGTATCCACTTCGAGCTATCTCTTTGGTAAAAGAATAGTAGCCTGTCTTCCTTAAGCTATTGTTAATTCACTTTATTATATAGTTTTCTAATCCTAAGAAATACAGGATGGGAAAAAACTTCCTAAAAGACACAAAATCTAGAACTCATAAGGAAAAGATAAGTATGCATGATTTTATAACAATTTAAAACTTCTGCGTAAAACCAGATAATACACATATTTCCTCCAAATAATCAGGGACATACAAATTTTTAAATATAATTTTCATCCATTAGATCGACAAAAGTTTATTATTTTTTTAAGATTTTATTTATTTATTTGAAAGAGAGAGATCACAAGTAGGCAGAGAGGCAGACAGAGAGAGGGGGAAGCAGGCTCCCTGCTGAGCTGGGCTCTATCCCAGGACCCTGAGCTGAAGGCAGAGGCTTAACCCACTGAGCCACCCAGGCACCCCAAATCGACAAAAGTTTAAAGATACAAAACAAGTATTAGGATGTGTGGAAACAGTCACTCTTTTTACACTGTGAGTGGAATTGTAAATCAGAGAAGCCTTTTCAAAGGCAATTTGGCATTATATATTAAATTTTCTCATGTATATATACTTTCACCCAGAAATCATTGAAAAATATGATATAAACACCAAAAAGCCCATTTCAGCATTATTTGTAATAGTAAAAATTTGTAAGCCATCTAATTCTTCATCAACAAAGGGGTGGTTAAAAATTATATTTATAATATTGTATTTTATAATATTATATTTATAGAATACATTATTAAAGTATACATTGCTGTTAAAATAAGGTTAATGTGTATATGTACAGATATAGAATCTTTTTATTTTATTTTATTTTTTTATTATTAGGTTCAATTAGCCAACATCTAGTATATCACTAGTTTTGTTTTTTTTTTTAAGATTTTATTTATTTATTTGACAGAGAGAGAGAGAGCGTGCGCATGCACACCTGCACAGAGGTAAGGGGAGGGACAGAGGCAGAGGGAGAAACAGACTCCCCACTGAGCAGGGAGCCTGCTGGGGTTCTATCCCAGGACTCTGGGATCATGACCTGAGCCAAAGGCAGTAGCTTAACTGACTGGGTCACCCAGGTGCCCCATATCCAACATATTTGTACACTGTGATGCTTCTTCGCATTTTCATTCTCTTTACTACCTCTGGTTTGTTTTTCCTCCTTGGGCTTAATTACTTGCATTTCAAGTACTCATTACTATAAGAATAAATCCACTTAATGTTTCCTAAATTCCTCAAAAATAAATGTATAAATGTCTGAATATATAGTAGTCTAAGCTATCCAACCCCCAAATCAGATATTCATTCAGCTAATTTATATGAAAGCACCCTTCAAAATCAAATTCAAATTATATTATACTGAACACTCTATAAAAGAAGATGACTAAAATAAATTAGCTACATTGTTAGTTTTTGATGTAGTGTTCAATGATTCATTAGTCGAGTATAACACCCAGTGTTCATCACAACACGTGCCCTCCTTAATACCCATCACCTAGTTACCCCATGCCCTAACCCCCCTCCCTTCTGTAACCCTCAATTTGTTTTACAGAGTCCAGAGTGTCTCATGGTTTGTCTTCCTCTCTGATTTCTTTCCATTCAGTTTTCCATTCCTTCCCCTCTGGTCCTTGTAGCATCACAAGAACAATAGTTATGATTTTTTTTGTAGTAGACATTACATATGTTTATTAGCACAGATATTTGTGCTAAATAAACTGTAAATTGGAAGGATGCACAGCAAACTACTGGTAATAGATACTTCTGGGGAAGAAATATGGGAGGCCAAAACAGATCTTACTTTTTGATTTATAAATTTTGACTCTAAAAATTAATCCATGCCTTACTTATATAATAACAAGAAACAAATGAAGAAGAGAAATCACTGATTTGAAAATACATCTTACAAGTTCACTGAAAAATACCAGTTAAAACAAACAGAGCTAGTACTGAGTACAAAAGGTCTGGGAATTAAAGTACTGAAAAAATTTTTTAAAAATCCTTAAATTAAACGTCAGAATCTTGGAAGGATAAAAGTTTAAAATTAAGATTAACATCTACTTAAAAAAAAAAAGATCTGAAATTCAACACAGTAACAGGGATATGAGAGACACAGGAAAGTGGTAACTACTAGCCATTATTACCTACCAAAACACCATACATTTTGGATTAAGAAAAGATTCTATATAGTTTTCTCTTCCTGGTCACACTCGAGTAGATGAAAGGTAGGAAATTATAATAGGAAACTAAACTATGTATTTTTAAAAAAATTATAAAATCATCAAATCTAAAATCTGACAGCCCCAATTAAAAGAATGTATGACCCAATTTAAGAGAAGGTAAATGGAAGCATTCAAGCTGCCAATAAAGTGTTCCTAAGAAGATGCTTGTGGAAAAATACTCTGATTTAATTTGACCCAATAGTTGATGCAACAGAGTACATTGGGGAAAAAAATTGACAGAAGAAAGAGACCTGGGTTGTAGCTCTAGCTCAGTCTCTAGTATTGCAATAAAATCTTGGGAAAGTCACAGTTTATCTGGGCATCACTTACTTCATTTATAAAATGAAAGGACTAGACTATATGGTCTCTAAGGGTATTTGAATTTCTAGAAAAATAAAGCTAAGAAACAGAACATTAACTTCTGCTGTGCAAGCTATAATCTGTCTGTTGAGCTGTATAAAACTGTGAGAAGTTTGTTTCTGAGACTTCAAGGCATGTGGGAGATAAAACTCAACGGAATGTAAGGAAGTATCCCAGAGAGAGAGTGACCTCCTCTATCTAAAGAGGAAAAACAAACTCTTTGAATAACAGGTTTTACTGAAGTACATAAAAAAGTCATTTCACATGAAATCAAAAAGTTTAACAGTAAGAACAAAATACTCCGAAAATCAACCACTAGGCAAGCAGAAAAGAATGTCATTGTATTTGTGATTGTGATTGCAAACAATTTACAATGTAGTCTTAGTTTACTCTTCTAATTACTATTCCTCTATACAAACTTTCCATTCTCAGTAGAATAGACATTCCACTGTCATACATGCATTCACTCACTCATGTTTTTACTTTTACTATTTGTCTCTCCCAGAATGCCACTATCATTCAATATACATTTATTATATGTTTCCATACTGTCCATTATCTTCATACACAAGGTTCTCATTGTTCTCATTCAAGCTAACTTGAAAGCTCCTGATGATGACAAACTTAACCTTCTTTTCTGTCATTACCTTGCTTCGGCAGAACACACTTTCAAAAAATGTTTGTAGATTTAAAAAAATTCACAAATCATCTATTTTAATTGAAGTCTGAGAATTTGGGGACATTAATTTCACATCTATATTCTGACACCTTACTTTTATGTATATGTGTCCTTTCTGGTATTAAGGAAAACAAATTATAGTAACTTTTAAAACTAAAAAAAATTTTCAGAAATATGAATCGCAAATGGTAGTATTTTAAGACATTTAATAATCATCTTTACCAATTTACTTTCATTTCTCTTGTTTTAATTCTTCCTTCCATTGGAAATCTATAAATAAAAACACAGGGCAAAACTTTTATTATTATTACTTATTTTAACTAAATAGAACCTTTAAAAAATTATTTAAAACATATTTAATTTCCATACCTGATTGTTACCCGATTTGGATCTTTGTTCAAAGTATTCAGTGTTTTCTTTTCATTTATCCTTAACTGCACATCTACAAATTCCTTGCAGCTGGCTATCATTGTGACCTATAAAATTTCATCATTTGCCCATTTACTTATGTCCCTTCTTTACTTCTTTCCTTCCATCTTCTTTCTCTATATTTACTTATTTTCCATGCTGCCTTTTAAAGCATGCCTATCACAGCTTTATCATTTAAAATGTGTAACAGAATTAAAAATTCACTTTATACATTTTGCTTCTTTAAGGATTCATTCATTCACTAATAAGTGTTTACAAACACTTGATATATGCTAGACATTACGCTAGACACTGGGACTACACCAATAAGATCATAAAGATTAACAAAATAAAATTTAAAATATTCAGTCCTGTGCCTACCACTTAGTAAGCACTCAATAAATGTAGCAGTCATTTCTACTACTATTACAATATTATTTATCCTTCTGTAGTTTGCAAATCATTATCCTGTTTGAGATTAATTTTGTAATGGAAAGAATGCTTTAGACATTAAGAAATTTGTATTAGAGCCTATTCTGCCAGATGACTTTGAGCAAAGCATTTTTGTGCTTTGGTTTCTCACATCTGTAACATGAAACTAACATCTGTTCTAATCCTCTTACATACTTGCTGAACTCAAAATAAGATTAGTTAATGTTAAATTAGGGGTTTTTTACTCTTGATTACCCTTAGTTAAGAATAATATTTACATAAAAATAGAAGCATTCTAGTTTTCATCAGTTTTTGTGCAATTTTTGTTTTATAATCTCATTACAAAAATCAACCTAGATATCTTAAATAAAAATTAATAGTTAAATTTGAAAATAAGAATAAATATCTTGTTGCATATTTATGACCCCTGTATAGGGAGAAAGGACCAATATGGTTCTCAAGTATCATCAACATGACTATGGTTCTACTTACTGCTATAACTGTAAAGTTGCCCTCACAGTTGATATCTTAGTATAATCTTGTTTTCACTCCACTTCTCTGCAATCACTGCTTTTTTCTAGTCTATCATGAATCCTATCCTATTTCTACTATTTTTCTGATGCAAAAAGTTTAGAGAAGGATTGCAAGTACATGGCACACATGTCCCAACATTGTCCATCACTCACAGCAGACTTGCCTAATATATCATGACACATTATCCTGGTCTTTCTCAAAAAAGTACACTTGGTAGCCACTACCAAGGTAAATAGCATTATCATTTAAATTGAAAGAGAGTTGCCATCCCTATTTTGGGTATGTATATAAATTTTCTTAGCCTTGATACAGAGATACAATTGAAAATTTATTGTAAAGAATAATATTCCATATCTCATGATCAAAGGTATGTAAGATGGAGAGACATAAGCACTACTAGAAATGCTTTCTTGTCTGCTCACTCATTCTTAAATTGCATGATATGCAAATTAGTTGTTTCCCCAATATTATTTTATACTATATCATTATATATTTATTTTCTAGTGACAACTAATTTACCAGATCTAATAAAGTCTCCTTTCCACTGATAGTACAAAATTTCTTCACTGTCTCAAATGTAATGTAATACCAAGCCATCAATCTTCCTGCCTCTGTGAAAAAAGATGAAAAAAGAAACATTCACTCCATCAGTTGAAACAACGCGCTTTTTCATCAGTTTAACAAACATTCCTTAATTTCTATTCTGTGCCTGTAACAGCATCAGGTACAAAGACACATCAGAAAATTGAGAAGACACAGTTTCTAGAATTTATAGGTTGGCTAGGGAGATAACTATATACAAAATAGCCAGACTAGAGGACAAAATCCAATTAATGATAATATTTACATATACAAGGGGCACCTGGGTGATTCAGCTGGCATCTTGATTTTGACTCAGGTCATGATCTCAGGGTCATGAGATGGAGCCTAGCATTGGGCTCTACGCTCAACCTGAGTCTACTTGCGATTCTCTTTCCATCTATCCTCTGCCCCTCCCTACTCTCTGCACACACTCCTTCTTTCTAAAAATAAATAAATAAATCTCTAAAAATATATTTACATATACAAGCTTAAGTACAGAGGATATTAAACCTAAGAGAATGGTCAGTGTGGGATGCCTTAGTAGGAAAATGGGGCTTGAACAGGATTTAAAAATGAATAATATGCCTTGGCAGAAAAGAAAAGCTGTCATGACCTCAGTGAAAAAAAATCAAGACTTATTTATCAAAACTGTAAAGTTAAAGATTATCTTTAGGGCCTCCTGGGTGGTTCAGTCAGTTTAGTATCCAACTCTTGATTTCGGCTCAGGTCATGAGACTGAGCCCCACAGTCAGCTAGTGCTGGGCATGGAGCCTGCTTAAGATTCTCTCTCTCCCTCAACTGCCACGTTCTAAAAAATTTAAAAAAAAAAAAAGACTATTTTTATAATACCTTAATGAGAGATATGGCTTGATAGTAACTATGAGTTCAGGCCAAACTGACCTTCTTCAAGTCACTGCTCCATCACTTAGTAGGTAGGTGATCATATGCAGGTTATTTTGCCAATTTCTTAATGTAACTTGGGGATAATAGAAGTATATATCATATATTTGTTGTGAAGAGTAAATGCAGTATTACATGTATGGTACATAGCACAGTGCCTAACATTAAATAAATGTTGCCTACTTTTATTACCAAAACATGATGAATAGTAGACTATGAGGGCCCGAAAGAGCCTTGAAATGCTAACAAAGGAGTTTAGATTTTGAATTTGATTTGTAAAATAACAGAGGACCACTTAAAATTCTTGAGCAGTATTTGATTAAACTGAAGTGTGAAAGTAAATTGTTTTGGAAATAGAACATTGAGTTGGCTGGAAGTAGCAGTATGGGTAGAGCAGGGGTAAGTAAATGATTAAATGAAATTCATTTGAAAAGTTACTGGTTTTAATTATAAGTTGTCAAAAACATTATAAAGAATGTTAAGCCTTGTGAGCACACACAGGAAACAGCTGGGAAGAAAAAATTGCATACTGCTTCTCAAGCGAAGGGCTAACATTTATGTATGTGCTACAGGTTTGCTGAAGAAAGGAAGAATTAGACATTCCATCAGACATACAGGCATCAAGGCCATGGTAGAGTAGACAGAACTAAGAATCAGGAAGAGAAGTAGCCAGGGAAGCTTAAAAACCACTTTATCAATTAAGATCCTGGTGGATATGTTCAACCGAAATGCAGGAGTTGCCGTGGTTCATAAAAAGGAGCTTCTGAGCAGTGTGTGAGATACAGAGAATATGGTTACCATGGGAACTAGTATGTTAATCTTTAGGATATATTTAAAGATATTCCTCTTATCCTAGATGTTTATAAATTAATATAAGGTTTCTCCCTGCTAGAGAAAATGAAAGGTTTGAGAAAAGACTTGATACTCTCTGGCTTATTAGAAAGGATGAAAGATTCCTAGGCAAGGTATAAAAATAAATTAGAAAGGAAGGCATGAAGAAATTGAGTCAAAGTAGAAGGGAAAAAATTTTAAAAGATTTGCAAGTGAAGGTGGAAATAAAGATGCATCTTTCAATCAATATGGTGTTGAATGATAAATATTCTTAAAATACCAAATTCAGGAAATCTTCAAAGTAAAGGCCATAGGATCACAGGGTGGGGTAGAAAGCAGAGGCCATAAGAATACACCTCCCATATCTCTTCCTACCAGAAGTGACTGACTGATGGCTCAAGCTAATATGTTCTGAACTTATCACTATGTTTACACCAAGATCATACTCCTCATGAGATACTCCAAACCAATGACTACACATGGCAGAAATATTAAGATAGGCCTATAAAATAGGAACTCCTTGGATAGGGAACTTTGAACTTAAAGATTCTTCGTCAGCTTTGCTGAATGGCCTTAGGACTGCGTTTTAGGTTAAAATTCTCTTTCCTTCTTGGAAGCCAACAACTGAACAATTCATGCAACCTCATAACAAGAATACTAACCTCAATAATTATCCTAATAAAAATATTAGCACAGTTTAAAAGACATGTTACATTCCTCATAAAATTATATATACATACATAGACACATGCATGCATACATACATAAATGCTTTGTGGGTCTTTTTTTTTTTAATAGCTTAATGGTATCAGGTGCAACAAGGGTTGAGGCTACTGAGTTATAAACACAAAGGGCAATATGTTCAGAGACTGGACATTCGGTAATATGTATTTTCAATGCAGAGTACATGGCCAATCTGGGCCCAGAGGAAAACCAGGTAAAAGGGCATTATGTGCAGTGCTGTATTATTCTGAATTCAACTACTTTCCACTAGATTTGTGTAGTTTATGTTAAGCTGCTCTGATGGTTAATTTTAGGTGTCAACGTAACTATCAACTAGCTATAGAATATACCTATACCGGGTATTTGACCCTTTACTGAGTCAAATATTATTCTGGATGTGTCTGTGGGGATATTTTTGGATGAGATTAACATTTGAATTGGTAGCTGATGAGTAAAGCAGATTGCTTTTTTTTTTTAAGGTTTATTTTTAAGTAATCTCTATATCCAAGGTGGGGATGAGCCTACAACCCCAAGATCAAGAGTCACAAGCTCCAACTGAGCTAGCTAGGTGCCCTGTGGATTGCCTTTCCTAATGTGGGTGAACTTCATCCAATCAGTTGAAGGCTTAAATAGAACAAAAAGACTGACCCCTCTGGTATAAGAAGGAATTTCTCTGGTGACTGCTTTGAGCTGGGAAATGGGTCTTTTCTTGACATTGGACTGGAACTGAAACATTAGCTCTCCTTGGGTCTCAAGACTGCCAGCATTACACTGGAATTTATTCCATCAGTTCTTCTGGTTCTCAGGCCTTCACACTCAGACCAGAACTATATCATTGGCTGCCTAGATTTCTATCTTACTGACTACAGATCTTGGGACTTCTAAGCCTCCATACTCATGTGATACTTACAGTAAATTTTATCTATCTATCTATCTACCTACCTATCATCTATCGACTTTCTGTGCGTGTGTGTGTGTGTTTACATATATATATGTATAGCCTGGACATGGAATGGCACAGGAATTAAAGAGAAACCAAAGATATCAAATATTTCATAATTTTAAGCTTGATAAAATGGTTATGCTACTGAGAATGACAGGCAAATATATAGACAGAGATATATTTTTCTAACCTTGGACAAAAGAGAAGAACAACTCATATTTATAGTAAAAACTTTTACATTGATTATCCCATTTGATCATCATAACAACCCAATAATGTAAGTAGGACATATAATATATTCCTGTTTTGTAGATGAATAAACTAAGTTTTAGTGAGCATAAGGTCACAGTTAGCAAGTGGTAGAACTGGGAGTGAAATCCAGGTTTTGGAACTCAAATTTTATGTTCATTCTATTTCACAGTATTCCACGTCATATTAACTCTTACATGCTTCTAGATGTCAAGTTTCGTGTTATTTACCTAAATAAAGACTTTCAAAAGAAAATTGAGCAGTGGGCATCTTAAAAAAAAAAAAAGAAAGAAAGAAAGAAAGAAAAGAAAAGAAGAGAAAAGAAAATTGAGCACCAGATTTTGTAAAGAAGGTGAGAGACTAGAATCAAAATTAGAGTATTGAATTCATTTATGGAATGACTACAGCTAAAGCTTGAAGGTAGATCATGTTTTTAAGAAAATAATCAGAAACTGGGAATGAAAGTCCAAGGTCTGCAACTTCAAGAAACCCACAGTAAAGCAAAATGGTCAGCAAAGAGAGATTGATTAAAGCAGAGGAAAACGAAAAGGTTACCAAGAATAGGAAAATTAGTCAGGTAGTATTCACTGATGATGGAGAAGGATCACTATAGATCATTTACTTGGTATATTTAAGAGTAGAAGGAATGGTATCTGTGTATTCAAGAAGTTCCACAGGAAAGGAATGATAGTGGGAATTAGATCCTTGAGAGAGAAAGTACCTAAAGAATAGATGAAGTTACATTAATGATTCTCATGCCCCCTCTAATGAGACACCCTAGAATACATAGAAGATAAATGATAAACAAAATTATGTTTATCAAAAAGACCACGGGAGAAGGAAAAAACAGTTATAAATCTAGGGCTAACAGTAAGGGCAATAAATTGCTTTAAAAACTTAATCTTATATAAATAGATGAAAAGAGGGGCGCCTGGGTGGCTCAGTGGGTTAAGCCACTGCCTTTGGCTCAGGTCATGATCTCAGGGTCCTGGGATCGAGTCCCGCATCGGGCTCTCTGCTCAGCAGGGAGCCTGCTTCCCTCTCTCTCTCTCTCTCTCTCTGTCTGCCTGTCCGTCTACTTGTGATCTCTCTCTGTCAAATAAACAAATAAAATCTTTAAAAAAAAATAGATGAAAAGAGCCAATCAGAGATCAAGAGCACAATAAATAAAATTAAGAACATACTTGATGGAAAAAATAGGCTAGATGAAGCAGAGGAATGAATTAACAACCTGGAAGACAGTAATAAAAAGTAACCAAGCCGAGCAAAGGAGAGGAAAGAAAATTATGCAAACTGAGAATAGTCTTAAGGAACTCAGTAGATTCAATTCAACACTTAGCAAAAGTGTAATAACATTTGCATTATAGGCATCTGAGAAGAAAAGGGAGAAAAGGCAGCAGCAATTTATTTGAAGAAATATAGCTGAAAACTTCCCTAATCTGGAGAAGGAAACAGACATCTGGATCCAAGAGGCACAGAGAGCCTCCCAAAAATTCAACCTGAAGAGGTCCACACCAAGACACACTGTAATTAAAATGACCAAAAAATAGAGATAAAGAAAAAATGTAAAACCTTACATTAAATACAAGTAAAAACATGATACAAAATTATACATTTCTAAACTATGGTTGCAAATGTATAAAAAATGCATTAAAAATGGAAGGATACTTGTCAAATGCTAACAATAGGATCCTGATTTTTAAAAAACTTTTCAATACCTCCCAACTTCTATTAAGGATTAATTTGAAATAATGAAGTTAGTATTTCCCCTAAGAAACTTCTAATCATGAGTCCTAAAAACTACACACCATTCTTTGTCTCTTGTATTATACTCTAAATAGAATGAAAAAGACAGAGAAAAGGAGGCAAAGTAACCATCTGGATAACAAATGTTTGAATAATTAATAACTAGCAAAAGGGTACCTACAAGAATTCTAAGAGGTTTAAAGTGACCCAAAGATTTCAATATTTCAATTCTCAGCCCAAAGTCACCAGAATCAGTGAAGACAAAGTACCTGTCAAAAACAAGCTCTATAGGGGCACCTGGGTGCCTTAGTCATTAAGCATCTGCCTTGAGCTCAGGTCATGATCCCAGGGTCCTGGGATTGAGCCCCGCCTGGGGCTCCCAGTTCAGCAGGAGGCCTGCTTCTCCTTCGCCCATTCCCCTGCTTGTGTTGCCTCTCTAGCTTTCTCTGACAATTAAATAAATGAAAAAAAATCTAAAAAAAAAGTTCTATAATTTTATAAATAGGACTCTCACATAAATATAGCATGCTAATAATGATGATACCCTGTTGAGACAACTGAGATTATAATTTAATTTTAGTATCATCTAAATTTTCGTAGAACATATTTTAAAGATTTTATTTATTTACTTATTTATTTATTTATTTATTTTATTTGACAGACAGAGATCACAAGTAGGCAGAGAGGCAAGCAGAGAGAGAAAGAGAGGAGGAGGGCGCCTGGGTGGCTCAGTGGGTTGAGCCGCTGCCTTCGGCTCGGGTCGTGATCTCGGGGTCCTGGGATCGGGTCCCGCATCGGGCTCTCTGCTCAGCGGGGAGCCTGCTTCCCTTCCTCTCTCTCTGACTGCCTCTCTGCCTACTTGTGATCTCTGTCTGTCAAATAAATAAATAAAATCTTAAAAAAAAAAAAAAAAGAAAGAAAGAGAGGAGGAAGCAGGCTCCCTGCTGAGCAGAAAGCCCAATGTGGGGCTCGATCCCAGGACGCTGGGATCATGACCTGAGCCGAAGGCAGAGGCTATAAGCGGCTGAGCCACCCAGGCGCCCCCGTAGAACATATTTTAAAATTTAGTCTTAGCCTTAAGCATTTGTTAAATTTACTGACTAATGGGAAAATTACCAGTTGGTTTGAAATTAACATCTTCATCCATCCTTATCAAGTCCAGAGATGATAAATCATTCAGATTCTTCAAACATAATTCTGTCCAATAATAAGAAACATATTTTTATTTTAGTAAGATAAAGGAACAGCACAAAATAGAATTTATAATCAAACATGCTAAAGGTCTGTTTCTCTATATTTGCTATGAGAAAACTGTAGTCCCTACTTAAGTGGTAAGGAAAAACTCATTAAGTAAAAGAGCCAGTGAACAGGCTAAAAAGATTTTCTAATAGTAACAATAATACAAATTACCAAATAAGTGATGAAATAACATTTACGACTTGGAACTTTTAATTTTAAATGAGAAAATTTGGGGCACCTGGGTGGCTCAGTGGGTTGGGCCGCTGCCTTCGGCTCAGGTCGTGATCTCAGGGTCCTGGGATCGAGCCCCGCATCGGGCTCTCTGCTCAGCAGGGAGCCTGCTTCCCCCCTCTCTCTCTGCCTGCCTCTCTGCCTACTTGTGATCTCTCTCTCTCTCTCAAATAAATAAATAAATAAAATCTTTAAAAAAAAAAAGAGAAAATTTGCATTACCTCATTTAATTTAATTCTCATAATATCATAACAAGGTAGGTACTAATATTATTTCATATACAAGTTAGGAAATAAAGAAATAGGAAGCTAGGTTACTTGCTCCAGTTGTATGTAACCACCCTGCTATTTGACTTCCAGTGTGGTGTGGTTTGCTTTTTCTTTTTCTTTTTTTAACTTTTATCAAAGATACATACATACAAAATATAAAGAGTCAAATAGATCTACAAAGATTGTCCAAAAAAACACCAATCTTTTTCCTCCTCTGAGTTTGCCACACTCTCGAGGCAACCACTTGTGACTATTTCAGCTGATGCTTTTAGTACTTAGTTCAGCGTAATTAACATGTTATTATTGCTACCTGGAAGGAACCTCTGAACAGGAAGTAACACAAGTTCACCTCTCACTGACTGCTGAAGATCAGAGCAATTATAGTAGCCTGCTGCCCACTGGACTCCCATTGTTCCATGCTATAAAGCCCAGAAGACTGTAGGTAATTCAGATCATGGAGTGGGAATGCCACAACATGTTCAATCTTTTTTTTTTTTAATATTTTATTTTTTTATTTATTTGACACAGAGAAAGAGAGAGAGAGAGAGAGATCACAAGTAGGCAGAGAGGCAGGCAGAGAGAGAGGGGGAAGCCGGCTCCCCACTGAGCAGAGCCCGATCCGGGGCTCGATCCCAGGACCCTGAGATCATGACCTGAGATGAAGGCAGAGGCCTAACCCACTGAACCACCCAGGCACCCCCAACCTGTTCAATCTTAAATAGAGTAGCCACTCACAAAAACATAACCCTTAACAGGCAAAATTCTTGGAGAAATCCTTCAGTTTAAGCAACATTGCTTTGGCAGCTTGATAAACTTTTAAGTATTTGGTTAATAAGTAAGGCTTTTGAAGTCTTTGCTAATTTTCTTAATTACCCATGATTAACAGGCGAGAAGTTAAACAGTCAAAGAAGAATACTTACTATATTACATTACTGAGCACTATTCTAAGCTTTGGGTTTACAGCAGTAAGCAAGACATGGTTCCTTCTCTATAGAACTTATATTTTATGGAAGAAAAGAATCAGTACAGAATTTAATAATAAAGTTTCAGGCACTGAAATGTACTATGAAAGAAAATAAAGCAGAGAGAAAGGACCTAGAAAATAAGAATTTTTTTTTTAAAGATTTTATTTATTTATGTGACAGAGATCACAAGTAGGCAGAGAAGCAGGCAGAGAGAGAGAGGAAGAAGCAGGCTCCCTGCTGAGCAGAGAGCCCGATGTGGGGCTCGATCCCAGGACCCTGGGATCATGACCTGAGCCGAAGGCAGAGGCTTTAACCCACTGAGCCACCCAGGTGCCCCGAAAATAAGAATTTTTAAAGATTTTAACTTTTCATGTATTTTTGATATAAAGCTATGTAATATCTGATTTAGTAAGGATATGTTCATCCTAATTTTCAACATAAGCATATCACCTTTCCAACAAAAGGAAAATAGCAACAATATCGTGGAAATTGTTTTACCATCCTCTCTGAAGAGGTAGATTTAATTAAGGTAGTCCAGAAAGGCCTCTCTGAGGAGCTAATATTTGATCAAAGATCTGAGTGAAATGAAGGTGGAGACCACAAGTAAAAAATATGAGAAGTGAGGGGCGCCTGGGTGGCTCAGTGGGTTAAGCCGTTGTCTTCGGCTCAGGTCATGATCTCAGAGTCCTGGGATCGAGCCCCGCATCGGGCTCTCTGCTCAGCAGGGAGCCTGCTTCCTCCTCTCTATCTGCCTGCCTCTCTGCCTGCTCGTGATCTCTCTGTCAAATAAATAAATAAAATCTTTAAAAAAAAAAAAAATATGAGAAGTGTTCCAGGAATAAGGAACAGAGTGGAAGGACCGGATGTGGAAACAAGCTTGGTGTATTTAAGGAACAGCAAGAGATCCAATTTATAAACAGCTGAGTAAAAGAGGGAGAAAGTAACAAGAAATGAAGCCAAGGCAGGATGATACTAAAGAGGATTTGTGGGCTCTGGTGAAAGTTTGCATTTTATTCTAAGAGTGAGGAGGGAACTACTGGAGGATCACAAGCAAGAAAGTATAACCAAATTTAGGAATGCTAAGGATCCTTCCTAAGAGATTTAAGGCAGACCTCCAGAGATACCAAAATATTAAATTCAGTTATATAATAAACTTGGCTATTCTTTATAGGCAAAATCTAGCTATCCCATAATGACTAAAGATAAGGCAAATATGAACTATGGTTCTGCTAATTTAACAAAAGTTAAATCATTCCAATTATCAGAATGTAGCAAGACTATATTGGACTATCTTGGACTATCTGATTTCTTGTGTGTATTTGATTATTATGATCAAAATATATGTTTTAAAAACTCCATTACAAAATTGGTCAGTAAATAAAGAATAATACAACTATTTTATATATCTGTTTCTCAATAGCAGCATTATGAATATATGCTATTGCTCATCACCTTGTTTCAACAATATATTTGTTCTTTAGTCAAGATAATTTTACTGCTTCATCCTTAACTCTACATCTTAATATGCCATATGTGTATATCCAAGTAGAGAATAAATTAAAATTGGCTAAATATTTTCAGGTCTACAGTTTACACTACGAGTGCTCCTCCGTATATGCATGTCTACTCCTTTATCTTTTTTTTTCCCCTTCAAGTTATCTTTGTACCACCCAGTGTGAGGCTCTGGGGCTCAAACTTACAGCCCCAAGATCAAGAGTTGCATTCTCTACCAATTGAGACAGTGAGGTATCCCAAAATTGGCTAAATATTTTTGGTGGATCTAAATTTTTTCTTTCACTGAAAGAGAATCTCAATACAAAGAAGAGCTAATACTTTCTAACCCTAATAAATGCTCAACAATTTTTTGATATTTGAAATGGCAGGTAATGAACTATTAATTAACTGAAAAATTAAGCTTGTATTTGATGGGAATACATCATTAGCGCAGGTAAGGATAAGAAGCCCATAATCAAGGTAGGTTTATATATTCAATTAAAATTAAACTAGAAAACGAAGAGTTGTATATCCATAGGCAATATTTTCAAAGATGAGGGTTATTTTTAAATAAAAACAAAGTTAACATTATATAAAGGAAGATATTCTGATAGAATCAATAAATTCATTAATTCAGAAAAAAGTACCTGTGCTAAACTTTATTTGCATGTGAAAAAGAAATACTTCATATATTTTTTTCTGGAAACAAGTTTACTTTTTTAAAAAAATAATTTACTAAAGAGTATTCTTACTTTCACACTAACTGATTTTTTTCATTAAAATTTATAAAATATAATTTTTTATAAGGAAATGCATCTAACCTTGTAATTTTGCTTCAATTCCATCTTTGTTCAATCCAGATGCAAAACCTATAAAAGTTATGAAAATTCACAAAAAGTTAAAATAGAAAAGACTTAACTCATATTTATAGGCCCAGTTTATACCCAACTTAATTAGAAAAGAGTAGTCTAACTTAATCTTAAATAGGGGGAAAAATAGCTTAATGAGTTAAAACAAGGCTTACCTATCAATAGAAAATAACCACTGTTGTAAACAATTGGTTATCTCTTGCTTTTTTATTGTGTAACTATGACCATGCATACTGTATTTTTTTCCCTTGGAGAGCTTAAAGTTTTGAACCTGTGTGCATTCGAATAATACTGAAATAAATCAGGTTTTAATTTGATATTCAGCAATTCCAAGTATTTTTACTTTATAACATGTACCATATGAAAGAACCTTCTAGAAGCAATATAACCAGATGTGTGTTAGCTTTAGAAGCAGGATGCACATTCCAGCAGCAACAGCAGTACTATATACTGCTATATATACTATATAGTATAGTACATATATATACTATATAGCAGTACTATATACTATATATCTGAACACTAGTTCAGAAAAAATTCAAGAATCTTTTTACTTTAAAAAAATAATTTTAGGCATTTTTATTATTTTTATTCGAGTTAATTTTTTTCTAAAAGGTCTATATTTAATGGTGCCAATTTCAAACCTTATTAAAAGACTAGAAGTAAAACAGATAAAGGTTTCTCACATTTTTCTACTCTTGTTGCTAATATATTTCTGAATGTTATTACTTTTTATTTCTGTTACCTATTACTGTTTATAATCTATTCTGTGACTTAAAAGTATAAAAATAGACTCCTTTTTTGAAAAATTTACTACTTTTTCAAATCAAAGTAACAAACCATAATGAGATGGATTTTTCAAGGCTCTGATATAAAGCAAAGTTGATCGTATCCATTCCAAAGCAATATTCACATCTGTGATGGTATGTAACACTATCTCTGCATTTAAATGTTCAATAAGATGTCTGTGTAAACTAATAGGAAAAAAAAACCTTTGTATTAGTAATATTTATTTTAATGCCATAACTTTACCTTTTAAAACTGCAATAATATTTTGAATAATTCAATAATTAAACATAATTAAAGAATATACTCATTGTTATATTAATAATTCATGAAAAATAACTTAATTTTCAAAAATATAAGAGAAAATCATAAAAAAAATCAGTTCAACTGTTAAAAAATTATAGACTTTTCTCTATCTCATGGCTCCAGAAGACATTATTACTTAACAAGAGTAGAGACTGAATATTCTCTCAGAGTATTATAATCATATACTTTACTAAAGTTTCCAGATTGCTATCTATTATTAAACAAATTTTAAAGATGTAAAAAGATGTTTTAGTCTTATTACTAATTTGGCCTTTTATAACAAGGATACATACTACCACATGCTAGGAAACTAGTGAATAAAAATATTACGCTGTCCTTTTTAACTCTTAGCTTCTTAAAAGGACACAAACTTTCTGCTTAGATTATTAAAAAGTTATAAGACAATGGTCTTAGACAATCTAATCAAATTTGCTTTTAATATGTGAATAGGAAAAATGTTAGCAGTGTTAACATTTTAGAATATTTTTTGTATTACCTGCTTTCTATAGTGTCACTACAAGCTAACATCTGAATATATTTCTCTTTTGTACTTAACCGAGTCATAATAACTGCAGTAGCTGTAGTGTCAAACTGGAAAAAATAAATAAATAAATAAACACACACACATACAGAGAAATGTAGTAAAAAAGAGTACATGTTGGTACCAGTCCTCTTTAAGAATTCATAAATTTCATTTTATATTAAGCAGTGCCTATCTTAAACAACACGTCAAAAACGCCTTAAAAATGTTTCTGAATTTGAATGTTCACTGAAAATTTAATTTAAAACCTTTCAAGAGTATAGATGTAAAAATATTACTTTAGTTTCAATGTAACATAATTTTGGTAACAGTAAAATCAAAACAAACTTAGGCAACTGGATAAAAGTTCTAAGATTTGGTGTAGTTTACATATAATCTAATTGATCTTATAAAAACTATGATTTACATAATATAATATTTTGACATTCTTTGAAAAGATAATCTTCCTAAATATTCCCCTACTAACTATAAGAATGACTTCTTTATTTAAATATTTGCTAGAGTAGGACATGTTTCTTAAAGTATATAGGCTAGTTTTTAATTGTCACAATACCTGGGGACCGCTATTGGCATTTTGCCTTAAGACCTGGGGATGCTACACATTCTGCAATGTATGACAGTCCTAAACAATGAAAAACTGTCCCATCTAAAATGTGAATAGCATCCTCATTCAGAACAAAAAACAAAAACCAAAAAAACCTCAAAACAAAACAAAACAAAACAAAACAAAACAAAAAACCCACCTTTGATGGTATATACACATTCATCAACCCAACCAATAGCCTAGGGAAACTCAGAGGGCACAGAGGCAGCATCTCTCCTTCAGTGAGATTCATTTTATTTCTATGTCTCCATTAAAGCAGATTTTCTATTGCACTTAATTTTAAACCTAATCTGAATGTGAAATGATGATCTGTTTAACAAAAAGTACACAAAAAACAGTTTTTGCTTTTTACCTTATTTTAAAACAAGTTACAAAAATAAAATATTGTCACTTACTTGAGGTCGACCAGCTCTACCAATCATCTGCAGAATATCTGTTTCACTGTACTCTTCAAACATTCCTCCAGCATAATGCATCGTAGATTTTATAACTACTAGGTGAGCAGGCAAATTTACTCCCATAGCTAAAGTACTGGTAGTAACTGTATCAGATTAAGAAATAACAGTTTCAAGCCATGTAACTCTATTGCTTCCGTAGAGATCTTCTTATAAAATATATATTCTTATAAATATAATAAAAACTCTCATATAGGGAATTTAGGAAAAACAAAGAGGAATATCACTATGTAAAATAATAACATATCTTAAAATCAAAAAATTATTGGGGTGCCTGGGTGGCACAGTGGGGTAAGCCTCTGCCTTCGGCTCAGGTCATGGTCTCAGGGTCCTGGGATTGAGCCCTGCGTCAGGCTCTCTACTCAGCAGGGAGCCTGCTTCCCCCTCTTTCTTTGCCTGCCTCTCTGCCTACTTGTGATCCTTCTCTGTCAAATAAATAAATAAATAATCTTTAAAAAACAAAAACAGAAACAAAAAACTATTAAATTCTTACTCTTCAGGTAGCACTATTCAGTAGCATGATAACCAAAACTGCCAGAGTTTACTGCAACATGTGTAAGTATGGGTAATTACATAATTTTAGATTCGTAGAAGAAAAGCAGAAATGAGTCCGAATACTCGAGCTTTTTTTTTCTCTTAACAGTTTTCCAAAATACCTTATAATAGGCACAAGAATATGTTTTACTTACAAAGAACTGGTAGATCTCCAACAGTGAAAGCTCCTTCAACTACTTTTCTATCTGACAGCTCCATACCAGCATGATGATAAGCAACACCATGTATTAAGATATCTGTAATAGAAATGTATCATCTGTTATATGCTGTTAACATTTCATCCATAATTGACTCCTTTTATGTATGGCTGAAAATCCTATTCAGAAATAATCTCTAAACTTACCTCTCAGTTTCAAATCTCTTATGGAATATGCACACTTCTGTAACCTATTTTAAAAATACCATAAAATTATTAACATAAAAACATAGTTTATTAATCATTTTAACATAAAAACATAGTTTATTAATCATTTTGATTAATCATTTTGAAGCTACAGATATTAGAATATTTTCACAATACCATTGTTCAAAAATCACCTTTAAGAAGTAGAGAATACCTACCTTTCATATTCAGAAGTCCCTAAATTTATAACTCAGCAAAACAAGAAACAAGTTAAAAATGGGCAAATGACCTAAATAAACATTTTTCCAGTAAATTTATACAAATGGCCAACAATACATGAAAAGATGCTCCACATCACTAATCATCAGGGATAAATGAAATCAAAATTATCTCACAGCTGTTAGAATGGCTAGTATGAAAATGACAGGAAATAACAAATGCTGGTGAGGATGTAGAGAAAAGAGAGCCCTTGTGCACTGTTGGTGGGAATAGTAAACTAATATGGACCACTATGGAAAACAATATGAAGATTCCTCAAAAAAATTAAAAACAGAACTGTCACATTATCCAGCAATTCCACTTCTGGATTATATCCAAAAGAAACAAAATCAGTATCTCAAAGAGATACCTGTACTCCTAGATGGGTTGCAAAATTATTCAGAATAGCCAACATATATAAACATATATGTTTATATATAAACAGAGACAGATGAATAGATAAAGAACATCTGATACACACACCCACACATACACACACACAAACACACACAATGGAATATTATTCAGTCTTTAAAAAAAAAAGGAAATTCTGCCTTTTTCAACATGGATGAAGTTAGCAGCCATGTTGCTAAGTGAAATTAGCCAAAATGGTAATAATATGGTAATAATAATATGGTAATATGATAGTCAATTCTCATGTTATCCCACCCTTGATTAAGAAACTGAAACTGAAAAAAGTAATGTGCCCGATGGTACATGGCTAGTAAAGTGGAAGCACTGAAATCCAAATCATGGTCCCTAACTTCACACTGTTTCTGTCCTTTTTCTTTTTTAAGACTGATTTCTTTATTTGAGAGAGAGAACAGTGGGGAATGGGCAGGAGAGAGGGAGAATCCTAAATCCTAAGACTCAGAGCCTGACAAGGGGCTCCATCCCACGACCCTGAGATCATGACCTGAGCCAAAATCAAGAGTCAGTTGCTCAACAGCCTGCACCACCCAGGGTGTTACTAACACCAACATTTGTTTCTAATACCCATTTCATTCCTGGAAAATCAGAAATAAAAAAGGGGGGTGGAGGCGGGAAGGGAGAGACAAGAGTGAAGAATGAAATGAAAGATGAGAAATTTTCCTTGAGTAACTAGGTAAAGAGTGGGAAGTAAGAAAAGGAGAAATATGATATATGCTTCTGTATAAGAAAATGATTATCTAAAACAAAATTAGCTAAGTTGGGTGCAGCAGACAACAGGGGAAAAGGGAGAGGATGGAATGGAAATTAATTTCAAGGTTGCATTCAGGTTACCTATTTCAGTTTCTTACTCTTATAGATAGGTTCAGGTTCAAAATGCTAATTATTAAGTATTCATCTTAGGAAGCTGTATAATTAATTCTATATGAATGATGCTACTATTACACAAAGAATTCTATGCATTTTTATTAAAATTTCCTTCAGAGTTAGTTTTTGAGCAAGAAAGTAAGGCTCATTGCTTGACAACCACATCTGCTTCTGACTAAAAGTCACATGGCCCAACAAGATCAACTAGCTTATTCACCCAAGTAGAAGGTCCCAAATTACTCATTGCTACTTACTGTCTCCTCACTCTATAACTATACTTTTTTTAAAATTCCCGTTTACGTTTATACTATTACTAGTTTTATAATGACCTGGTCAATTGGTTTTTGAAACCCCATCTTTGCTAAAAACATTTAGAAAATTAATAATCAAGAATGTTAAAAAACCAAGTCCAGCTGGTAAGGAAACTATTAATTGCAATTTAATTATAGAAAAGGATTTTGCCAGCAAAATGACCTAATGGATGCATACATTTTCCCAATATACTTGATCACTGCCTTAAGTAGCCAGGAAGTTTTCTGGATTAAAACCAAAGGCTCAGACCAGGTGATTAAAATAGAAACTTTAAAAAAAGGCTTAGGAAACATTCTCATTACAAGAATACTACCAATTAACTTCCTGAAGTTAACTGAGACATTCCAAAATACAGAAATATTTTGTTATTTGAATGCATTATATAACAGACGAAGTATTTAATAAAAAGCTAAAGAAACCAGAGTACAAAATAGCTGAACATGTTAGATTTAGAAACCTTAGTAACAGAATCTGGGGCTTGATGGGCAAAAAGAAGTCTCGTAGGAGTTGCTAGAACATGAGTGGTCAAAGGAGAATTGAGTCTCTTTTCCTGGTCTACACCAACTCAAAATAGCATCCCATTCATTTTCATTCAATATATCCAGAATAGAATCATGGTTCTCTCAAACCAACTCCTCTTCCAGTGTTTCCCCGTCTTAGTTATACAGCACTCCCTGGTTGTTCATGCCATGCTTATCACTGACATCTCCCTTACCTTCCTCCACATAGGAAATCAATTACCAAGTCCTATTTATTTTTACTTCTAATTATATCTCAAATATATCATTTTATCTCCATCAACACTGTCACCTCCTTAGTTCAAATCACTATTAGTTTCTAATAGTTTGAAATGCTCATACATATGCAATTGGAGATGTCAGTTAGGCACGGACTATAGACTAGAGTTCAGAATGGAGCTATAAATTTAGGAACTGACAGACATATATAAATACGAGCATACATATATTCTTTGAACCCATGTGATAGACACAAATACCCAGGAGTCTGGAATTAGAAAGAATGAATCTTGGATAGAACCTCCAGAATGCCAACCTTTCAGAGCTGCATAGAAGAGGATTGAGAATGAGCAGCCAGCAAAGTAGGAAGTAACTTGGTAGAGGATGATCAGGGAAGCACAGAGTCCAGAATTTTGAAGTAAGGTGGGAGGGATCAAATGTATTAGAGGCTCCTGAGAGATCAATAGCAAGATTAGCTTTAGTGAAAGATTACAACAGATACCAAATTCAAAGTGGATTTAAAAAAAAAATGAAGATAGCAATATGAATAATCTTTCAAGAAACTGGCTAAGAAATAAAGAAGATAGGATCAGAGTGTCACTAAGATTCACTCTCTCACTTAATCTTCCAAATTACTCTTATCCTTAATTTATACCTAAGGAAACTGAGGCTTAGAGAGGCTGATTAACTTGAAAAGGTGAAAGAACAAACCCAGTTTTCTCATCTCATCTAGATAATCCCTAAAAGTCTTCCCATCTCCAATAACAAAAAAAGAGAAAATGTACCTCTGTTTCTGTTCCACAGCCATGATAAATTTAGCATCTTTCACAAGAACAGAAGCAGCCTGTTGTACACCTTTCCTTGTTGCACAAAACTGAAAATAAATGAATAATTCTTGGATTGATCATATTAAAAACTGAACATTACACTCAAAAATAAGCAACTAACAATCCATACCACAAGTGTGGGTTTCTGATCAGAGTATGTTTGTATAACACTGGCAATTTTGTAGTTGAGGGTTAAATCAAACTTAAATTCAGTTTGGTTACTTCTGCAGGGGAATCCAAGAACCACTTTCCGAAGTTTCACCGGCCTATGTCTCTCATCCATTTTCAGGCATACCGCAGGTCTTTCACCATCTGAAAGCCATTCTGCAATCTTTAAATGACAGAAACATATATTAAAAGTTCTTTCTAGTCAAGTTTTATGGCTAAACAACGCAATAAAAGACCACTTTTAAAGACAAGGTATGAAAATAATTAAGCTGTCTTTTTCAGTATTACATATTCCAGTGATACTATTCTATTTATATATTGGTAAATATTATCAGTAACAGTATTTTAAGATTATTCCCACCTTTCAATATGCTAAACTCCCAATTAATTATTATTTTATTTACCTTCCCAAGAGTCCAAAATAAAATTGATTTTGGCAGAGAAACTGAATTTCTCACTATCATTATTAACCTTCCTATTTTTCAGAACTATGCCTAGATATATATGACAGCTCTTTTGAGTTGTGCTAAATAATAGCCAAGGAGGAGCAAAGTAATGGTTGGCTTAGATTAGCAAGGGCTGACAATTTTTAAACAAAGAGCAAATAAATGTTTAAGAGATAATAGTGCTGAAAGTACATTTCAGACTCAATGCCTGAGTCATTTGTTAATTTCTGAAGCTGTGGTGAGCAATTCTTATCTTCATATAACCTGGTTAGTAATTGGGCTTTATGCCTGCTCTGAAACTGACCACTGCTTTGACAGGAAGATGGATTAATGAGTTTTAGTTGCAGGGGAAAGAAATATTAAAACATTTGAAGGTTAAAGCGTATGCAAATAAGGTCACACAAGAATTTAATTTAAAAGGAGCAGAAGGCCAAGGATGAAGACCCTAATTAAGGAGAAAATTGACACAGAGGATTTGTACAAAGAGACAGGGAAGTAGCATACACAGATGTGGTGATTATCACAAAGGGCAAAAGAATTTCAAGAATTATAGAGTACTGATATTTAACGACTGCTTACAAATCAATAAGAAAAGTTTATTATCCCAATGTGAAAAAAAGGGTAAAGAACAGGGGAGAGACAAGATGGCAGAGAAGTAGCAGCCTGAAATGACATCAGAACCCAGGAGTTCAGTTAGATAGGTATCAAACCACACCTACAAACTCAACAGGAGATAGAAGAGAAGAAGAGCAGCAATTCTAGGAACAGAAAATTGACCACTTTCTGAAAGGTAGGACGAGTGGAGAAGTGAATCTAAAGTGATGGAAGATAGACTGCGGGGGGGAGGGGCTGGCTCCGGGCAAGTGGTGGAGCAAGGAGCACAAAATCAGAACTTTAGAAGTCTTGTTCCACTGAGGGACATAGCTCCAGAGGCCAAGCGGGTGTGGAGTGCTTGTGGGGACAGCGTGATCTCAGGTCCCACGGGGGTCACAGAAAGGTCAGGGGTATCTGAGTGTGGCAGAGCTCCCAGGTATCAGAGCAGGGAAGCCGACTACAGAGACAGAGCCAAAGAATGAGCCTTCAAATCAGGTTTACCTTAAACTGTGATCCAAAGCACTGTCAGACCGCTGCTCTTCAAACAGGAACCCCACAGGGGGCAGATCCAGGGAGGCTCAACTTCCTGCTCTGGGAGGAGCAGCCCGGCAGGAATCTGCTGGGTTTGGAGACTCCAAATAGGGTCATGTGCCAGAGACAGAAATGCTCAGTCATAGGCCAGGTGAGCTTGGGAGTGCGGCTGGTGACCAGGGAGACAGGAGTGATTGACTGCTTATCTCTGAGGGCCACTGAGGAGTGGGGTTCCAGGCTCTCGCCTCCTCCAGGCAGAGATTGGGAGGCCGCCATTTTCATTCCCATCCTCCAAAGCTCCACAGAAAGCATTCAGGGAAAAAAAGCTCCAAGAGTGAACCTAAGCAGATTACTTAGCCTGGTCCCTGGCAAGGTCAGTACAATTTTGCCTCAGGCAAAGACATTTAAGAATCACTACAACAGGCCCCTCACAAAGAAGATCAGCAAAACATCCAGCCAAGACCAAGCTCACCTATCGAGAGAAGAGCAGAACTCCAGAGCTAGGGGAAAGCAACACATAGAATTCATGGCTTTTTCACCACGATCCATTAGTCTTGCAAAGTTAAATGTTTTTTAATTGTATTTTTTCTTATTCTGTTTTTTAAATTTTTCCTCTTTCCTCTTTCAATGTTTTCTAACTAGTTTATCTTAACAATATCTTTCTTAAAAAATCATTTTAAACATTCATTGTTATAGTCATATTTTATGCCTTCATTGTATTTAACCTTATTTTTTGTATACATATAGGTGTTTTTTTTCCTAAAAAATTTTGGGATACAATTTCTTCTAATAGATCAAAATATACCCTAATCTAGCACATGACTTTGTTCTAGTCTCCAGCCTGAGCACAATCCCTCCTCTTTTTTTTTTTTCCAACCAACTTATCAATTCCTTTTTTAGAATTCTTTTTTAAATTTTCATCTTTATAGTCATATTTCATCCCCTAATCATATTTACCCTTATTTTTGTATATATATGTTTTTCTTTCTTTAAAATTTTGGAAGGTAGTTTCTTCTAAGAGACCAAAATACACCCAACATCAAGTGCGTGGCTCTGTTCTAATATATATTTATATATATATATATATATATATATATATATATATATGTATAATTTTTTATTTTTTAATTTTTATTTCTAATATATATATATGTATAATTTTTTATTTTTTAATTTTTATTTCTTTTTTCCCCCTTTCTTCTCCCCCTGGTTTTGGGTCTTTTCTGATTTGGTTAGCATACTTTTTTCTGAGGTCTTTGCCACCTTTTAGTATGTATTCTCTCATTCATACATTCTTATCTGGATAAAATGACAAGGCGGAAAACTCACCACAAAAAAAAGAACAAGAGGCAGTACCGATGGCTAAGGACCTAATCACTACAGACATTGGAATATGTCAGAACTACAGTTCAGAACGACGATTCTCAAGGTGCTAGCTGGGCTTGAAAAAGGCATGGAAGATATTAGAGAAACGCTGTCTGGAGAAATAAAAGTCCTTTCTAGAGAAATAAAAGAACTAAAATCTAACCAAGTTGAAATCAAAAAAGCTATTAATGAGGTGCAATCAAAAATGGAGGCTCTTACTGCTAGGATAAATTAGGCAAAAGAGAGAATTAGTGATATAGAAGATCAAATGATAGAGAATAAAGAAGCTGAGCAAAAGAGAGACAAACAACTACTGGACCACGAGGGGAGAATTCGAGAGATAAGTGATACCATAAGACGAAACAATTATTAGAATAATTGGGATTCCAGAAGAAGAAGTAAGAGAGAGGGGGCAGAAGGTATATTGGAGCGAATTATAGTAGAGAATTTCCCTAATATGGCCAAGGGAACAAGCATCAAAACCCAGGAGGCACAGAGAATCCCTCCCCTAAAATCAATAAAAATAGGTCCACACACCATCATCAAATAGTAAAACTTACAAGTCTTAGTGACAAAGAGAAAATCCTGAAAGCAGCTCGGACAAGAAGTCTGTAACATACAATGGTAGAAATATTAGACTGACAGCAGACTTATCCAGAGAGACCTGGCAGGCCAGAAAGAACTGGCATGATATATTCAGAGCACTAAATGAGAAAAATATGCAGCCAAGAATACTATATCCAGCTAGGCTATCATTGAAAATAGAGAGATAAAAAGCTTCCAGGACAAACAAAAATTAAAAGAATTTGCAAACACCAAACTAGCCCTACAGAAAATATTGAAAGGGGTCCTCTAAGCAAAGAGAGAGCCTAAAAATAGTAGACCAGAAAAGAAGAGAGACAATATACAGTAACAGTCACCTTACAGGCAATACAATGGCATTAATTCATATCTTTCAAGAGTTACCCTGAATGTTAATGGGCTAAATGCCCCAATCAAAAGACATAGGGTATCAGAAGGAATAAAAAAAAAACAGAACCCATCAATGTGCTACCTACAAGAAACTCATTTTAGACCCAAAGACACCTCCAGATTTAAGGTGAGGGGGTAGAAAACAATTTATCATGCCAATGGACATCAAAAGAAAGCTGGGGTGGCAATCCTTATAACAGATAAATTAGATTTTAAGCCAAAGACTATAATAAGAAATGAAGAAGGACACTATATCATAAAGTGTCTTCCCAACAAGAAGATCTAACAATTTTAAATATCTATGCCCCTAACATAGGAGCAGCCAACTATATAAACCAATTAATAACAAAATCAAAGAAACACATCAACAATAATACAATAATAGTAGGGAACTTTAACACCCCCTCACTGAAATGGACAGATAATCCAAGCAAAAGATCAACAAGGAAGTAAAGGCCTTAAAGGACACACTGGACAAGATGGACATATGATATATTCAGAACATTCCATCCCAAAGCAACAGAATACACATTCTTCACTAGAGAAGATGGAACATTCTCCATAATAGATCACATCCTGGATCATAAATCAGGTCTCAGCCAGTACCAAAAGACTGGCATCATTCCCTGCATATTTTCAGACCACAATGCTCTGAAGCTAGAACTCAATCACAAGAGAAAGTTGGAAAGAACTCAAATACATGGAGGCTAAAAAGCATCCTACTAAAGAATGAATGGGTCAACCAGTTAATTAAAGAATTCAAAAAATTCATGGAAACAAATGAAAATGAAGACACAACTGTTCAAAATCTGCAGGACACAGCAAAGGCGGTCCTGAGAGGAAAATATATAGCCTTTCTCAATAAAATATATAGGCCTTTCTCAATAAACAAGAAAGGTCGCAAGTACACAACCTAACCCTACACCTAAAGGAGCTGGAGAAAGAACAGCAAAGAAAGCCTAAACCTAGCAGGAGAAGAGAAATAATAAAGAGAGTAGAAATCAATGCAATCGAAACCAAAAGAACAGTAGAACAAATCAACGAAACTAGGAGCTGGTTCTTTGAAAGAATTAATAAGATTGATAAACCCCTAGCCAGACTTATCAAAAAGAAAAGAGAAAGAACCCAAATAAATAAAATCATGAATGAAAAAGGAGAGATCACAACCAACACCAAAGAAATATAATTACAAGAACATATTATGAGCAAATATACGCCAGGAAACTTGACAATCTGGAAGAAATGGGTGCATTCC